CCCTCATTGATCTTCCTGCCTTCAATCTCTGTGTTTTACAATCAAACTTCACTAAAAATGACTAAGACACAAGTCTGACTAAGTTCATCCCTGTCCTTCAGCAGCTCCCCATCACAGAATAAGTTCAATGCCTTGGCCTCCTACTCCTCAGCAAAATTCAACCTGAACCCTGCTTGCAGTTTTTCCTTCTGTTTCTGCCACCTTCAAAACAGCCATGTTAAACTAACAATCGCTAGAACTCCATGCGTTGTCTTTCTGTGTCTCAGGTTTTCATATATGCCCTTCTTTCCACCTAGAGTTCTCTTCCCCACTTTTTCTGTCTATTGAAGTGCCGATCATCATTTAAGACTAAACTCAAATTCACCATTAAAGTTGGCTGTCCCAGCCTCTCCAGTAGCCACATTGTCTACGCTGCTCTTCTGTAATATTTTCAAAAGCCTATTTTTTATTTATTTTTTGGTATTGGGGATTGAACCCGGGAGTTCTTAACCACTGAAACACATCCCCAGCTCTTTTTTTAAAAAATTTTATTTTACATTTTATTTAGAGACAGGGTCTCACTGAGTTGCTCAGGGTCTTGTTAAATTGCTGAGGCTGGCTTTGTACTTGTGATTTTCCTGCCTCAGCCTCCTGAGCTGCTGGGATTACAGGTGTATACGACCACACCCAGTTTCATAAACCTATTTAATACTTCATATATACCAATGTAATTCTTTCTTGTCTTTATATTCCAACTAACAATAATCTTTCTTTTTTTTTTTTTTGGTACCAGCAATTGAACCCAGGGATGCTTAACCACTGAGACACATCCCTAGCCCCGCCCTTTTTTTTCTTTTTCTTTTTTAAATTTTGAAACAGGGTCTGGCTACATTGCTTAGGGCCTCACTAAAGCTGCTGAGGCTGGCTTTGAACTTGCAATCCTTCTGCCTCAGCCTCCTGAGCCACTGGGATTATAGGCATGAGCCACCAAGCCAGACTGACAATAATCTTTTTAAGGGCAAGAATTATATTATGTATTCTATCTCCAGGGCATAAAGGAAGGCCTGAAGGTCTATTCTTAATTATGTTATTATGTTAAATAAATAAAAATCACTGGCATCAAACACTGCTGTTAAGCATGTGAAAAACAATCCTACAGTCTCTCTCATCAAGAGAGATGTGAATGAATAACTTGGGGAATGTAGACAGTTTCCTGAACAATGAAACTACAAAATAAACTGAACAGTGACTTCTATTCTTTTTCATGATTAATACTCTTATGTTCAATCTTTCTAGTGCATTTTGCAAGACAGTCTCATTGAGAACAGGAACTCTAAATATTTTCTTCAGTTCAATAGTAAAGCTGCTCCAATGTACTTTTCTTACAGGCCTGTCTGGAAATGTTTTAGGATAGTCCACATCCAACATGGATCTCTTTCTTCCCCAAGTGGAAGCTATTTTCCTGCATATCCTTTCAACTAGCTTACCAGGGCTTGAAGGCCCTAACATTTTTATTCCCATAAGAATGTCTTACATACATTAGGTACTCAGCAAACACCTGATGAATGATTTAGAGAACATTCCTTGAAGAAACACTGAGAAATTTTGAAAATGATAACTTTTAAAGGTGATGTTTTCTATCCTAAACTAAAAGGCTTGGCTTTGCAATATTAACTTAGTAGTAAACTCCGCGGCAAGCATGCATTGGTTAAGTATAGCTGAAGCCAAAAATCAAATGGCTGGTGATTTAGTTATCCAGAAGTGGAACATACCTGTTTCAAAAAAACCACACTATGTATATGAGGGTGAAATATTCTTCATCTTTGAAACCAGCATTATAAATTGCTTTAGCTGGTTCTGGCAGGCTGGCACTATTTATCTTTTGTATTATCTTTCCAACAAATGGCTTATACCTGAAAGATGTGAATGAAATATAATAAAGGGGATTGGGATTGAATACTTTGAGCAAAGTTAACTGGTGAATTTGACAATGGAACTGCAATATCACAGTATCATTAGCTTAGAACCTTATTGACAGTCTAGTCCATCTTCACAGGATAGGGTTTTCACATGTTAAGATTCAGAGGGCAACCAGACATAAATGAAGAAACCCTGGGGAAAAATGGACCTGAATGGGAGGTCAAAATTAATAAGGAGTTTGAAACATTGGCAGATACTAAAATAATTGGTCCCTCAATGGAGATTACCTACTATTAGTAGAGTATCTGAGGAATTCGCATATTTAATTTCCAGTGAGAGGAATGTTTAAAGAGGAGCCATGGGAGACTGATTAGGGAGTCAGAAAGGAATCAGGAAAGTAGAAAGTATGGAGAAAGTTGGGCACAAAGGTGCTTCGAAATTGGTTACTTAGTTCCCATCTGTGCATCCCTGAAGGCGGCATTCTGCACAGAGGGGTATAATGCAGCCTTGATCTCTGTGTCCTTGAGATACATAATCCAACAACTTAAGCACTCCAGAAGGATGAGAGCCAAGAAGGAGCAACAAGTTTGGCTCCAATGTGGTCTCTTGTTTCTCTAAGGTCACTAGTTTCATTGGAACATTTTGATCCTTTTTTATTGGAGGAGGGTGGAGGGAAGCAAAATGCAAGTAAAACAGGTACTAGAGACTTAAGATTTAAACTTATAAAGATGTTTGGCCATGAAATGTGAAAAGCACATTAAAATGGCTTTTGGAAGTGATGCTGTTCTATCTAAGTAAGAAGCCAGAGGAAATGAATAAGAGCAATGGACCAGATACTTCTTTGAGTCTGGGATCCTTCTTAGGATGGGGAGCAATGGAAATTCAGGCAAGTGAAGAATCTGAATTTTCAGGAAAAGAGTTGTCTTCTTTTTAAAATTTTTTTTCATAATACCTTTATTCTATTTATTTATTTTTTATGTGATGCTGAGGTTGAACCCAGGGCCTCACACATGCTAGGCAGTGCTCTACAACTGAGCCACAATCCTAGCCCTACAACTGTCTTCTTTATAGAGCTTAGAGGAAGCCTCCATCAGTGGTTCCCAGTTATGACTGGGTATTAGAATCTCCAGGGAAACTTAAAAAAAAGAGCTGATCCTGGGTGCTCCTCCAGAGATTCTGATTTAATTAGTCTGGGCTGGCAACCTTAAAAGCCATCAAGTTATTAAGTACAGCAAGAATTGAGAACTAACCACTGGGCTAGATAAAAAGAAAGATATGGGGTAGAGGAAGGGAAATTGAATAAGTCACCTTCCACACCCTCTTCCCACAATTAGACAGTGTTTCTGACAGTGTCACATGACCGTAGATTGTTTTTGAGGTGATATTTGCCTTGATAGCACATGGATAAGCTTTTTTCCCCCCTATATACATACATTTACATATACATATATATATATATATATATATATCTATGTACATATGCAACTGTATAAAGCTATTAAATATCCAAAACATATAACCAGAATATCAAATTTGAGGTTCCATTCATATTATTGCTTAGGACAAGGTTAACTTCTAACTGAAATTTAGAAAGCGAGTATATTTACATGAACATTCTGTAAATTCCAGTATGGGTAGAATGTGGATATGGCGGAAACTTCTAAAAGAGTTAGGCAAACACCTGGGGTTTGAAGAACCTGGAACTTAAGTAGCGCATAGTCTATGAAATCTTTCTTTCCAGATCTTGCTGTTCTAAAGTGTCTCCCTCTCACAGCTGTGCAGCTGATCCAATGCCAAACTCTTCCTGTTCTTCTCACATGGATACCTGTGCCTCATCCGGAGCATTTGGATGCTTCTGAACTCCCTACAAATTCAAACTCACACTAGCCTCTTCCAGTCACTACATGATTATTGATGGCATTGCCTGTAACTCACTAGTGTCTCTTCCTTCAGATTAAAATCTGAGCTAAATTTAACTTAGAGTGGCTTAGCATAATAAGGCAGAAAACCAATGCTTACAAGGTGTTCCAGCCCCCCAGGCAAAAAAGTGAAACCGAAGTGTCCCAAATCCTGGTTATGCAAACTCAAAAGAGGACGGGGGAAGATACGAAAACCCCAAACTGAGCAAACAAAACCAGCATTCAGGAAAGGCACTGCGAACATTTCACTATTTATTTGCCATTCTCAGGGCATGATGCAACCTTGGTTGCCCAATTCATATTTGCACATTACCCTCTTGTCCACAACGAGCTTCAAAACCTTCCAACTCCATAAAATTCCTTTTAATAAGTTCAAGGGAGGGACCCAAGAAGGTTGATGGCACCAAAGGCTAGGTGATTCCACCTTTACGTAGGCCCAACGAAGTGTGTTGACAAGGTTTGGAATTTCGTAGGTACCCTAGTAAGGGAGAAGGTGCAGAGGCAGGCAGAGAAGTACTTGCCAGCCATGCTTCCACCACTCCTTTTCCATTCTCACGCCCACTTGATTAGAAACTGCCAACTGCATCGTACATACCTCACCCTTCTCCCTGCCCTACCTCCGGCGCCCTGTTCCTTTCCCCAATCCAAAGGGCACTAATAATGGCAAGGGTGAGTGGGGTAAAAACATGCCCAGCTCTAAAGCCTCCCTCCTCCTCTTCCTGGTGCCTCCTGCCCCCGCTTTCCACCTCCTGGCAGCCTCTGGGTCACCCAGTATTCGGCACACCTTTGCACCACCCAACAAAATGGCAGGTTAGCAACAGGCTAGGCCAAATGCGCCGCCTCTGGCCAAACCCCGAGTCTCCGAAGGCGCCTCCAAGCCCAAACACCTCTCTCTTTCCCAAAGTCCCCAATCCTCTGCCCCACCGGGCTGCCTGCTCGCTCTCTAAGGCCCTTTCCGTCGCCAGCGGGCAAGCAGGTGCCAGTGTAACAGGTGCCGGCCAAGAGGGCTCAGGCGGCTGCGCCTAGCCTGCAGAGGTCCCCCAAGAGGGGCGCAGGAAAAGCCACATCGAAGGGAAGGAGGCCGAGGGCAGAGGCAGAGGGAGTCAGCGTGGGTGGGCGACAAGGATGCCGCTCTCGGTCCTGGCTTCCCGGGAGCCACCCTCGCCAGGCTGCCCCACTTACAATCTCCAGGCAGACGAAGGCGCCCGAGTAGGTCCGCAGGATGTCGGGGCCGGCGGGCAGGGTGACCCGGGGCGCTGGGAAAGACACGGCAGGGTTCGGGGGCGGCGGGACTGGCGCTCCGCCGGCCGACATGCTGCCGCTGCCGCTGCTACGTCTCCGCGCGCCGCCGCCGCCGCCGCCGCCGCCGCCTCCCTCCTCCGCCTCCCGGGTTCCCGCCGCCGCCGCCGCTCAGGTCGGCGGGGTCCGGGCGTGCCGCGCGGGAGGGGCGTGGCTGCGTGGCCCTCCGGCCCGGCGAGACCCCGCCCCGTCACGTGGGCTCAGGTGAGCGCACCCCAGCCCTGGGTGCCCACTCGGGTCACGTGCGCAGGTGCGGCCGCTGCTAGGCGTGCCTCCCTGCCCAGCTACTCTTGTCCCCTCCCTCTCGGGCCAGCGCCCAGTGCTCCCAGCAGCCTCTCAAGGGCGGGCTCTACAGCCCTGTCCTGCTCTTTATTTTGCCTGCTACCCTCTTTATAGTTTCCACCTGTTTTCTCCACCTGTCTGCCCGCTTCCTGGGGGTCTTGTCCCACTTTCCTCACTTCGTCGTATAAAGACAGGTTTTGTGGCTGTGATTCAGACAAGTACACTCTAGGTCTCCAGAATGGGGTATATTTTAAATGGACCTCTAGACGGATTTTAAAAACGCCCCTCGGACAACCTGGAGCTTTGGAGTCAAATGACTCAGCTCTAACACTAATGGCTGGCAGTGGATTCCCAGCAGGGGCTGCAAGGAGTGCCACGGTTTGCTCTTTTGTGAAACAGGGATGCGGGTATTTACCTGGAATCATGTGCGGATTAGATGATATAGCAAGACAAGAGTAGCGCATTACCGGTGGTTAAAGGGTAGCTAACATCATGAGCCATTTTTCTGATTTGTAACACATCACTACTGTATTGCAAAAGTTATATTTTGCACTCAGAACTTTAATTATTGATTTGACCTGTCAGAAACTTGATGCCTTTGCGTTTTCCAAACGTAAAACCTAAAAGGTAGTTTTTAAAGGATTCTAGATGTGATTTGATCCTGTCCTTCAAATTATCCCCATTTTATCCTTGGTTTCAATGTCAACACTTTTGTAGGTGAAATGGGAGATTAACTTGCTCAAAGATCAACTGAAGATAAGCAAAACCACACATACCAGCACACACCTCTAGACAAAGTTGGAAAAAAATATTAGCTAATGTCAGACATTGTCCAATTGAATCAGATATTGTCTATCAAGTTGAGGAATGGTGTTGAGCTCTATGCACTGGTCAGCAGGTTTTAGTTACTCTTCCACTATTATTTAAATAAATGAAACTCATAGGTGTGGTGGTAGTAAAAGGACAGGGTGTGGGTGAAACCTTTTGTGTACACTTCCTGTCATCTCCACCTGTTAGTCATCACTTTGAGGTATTTAATGTGTGCTGTTTGTTTAATTTTGAGGTTTTGTTTTTTTAATTAATTTGGTCAGTGAGCCCTTTTGTGTTCAGACCTTGATTGGCAGGGAATCATCTTTCTTTTTATTTTCTGCATAAGAGTGCTCAGTAAGCACTTAAAGAATGTCAAAGAGAAAACCATTTCAACAAAAATTCATTGTGGAGATGCTCAGTATATATGATGTGTCTAAAATATTCTAGTGGATGAATTTGAAATGATGTTGAAGTTTCCAGAAGTGCTAATGGCTCAGAAGAACTTCAGATGAACTAATTTTTAAAATTGTCCCCAAAGGAGAAAGTTTTCCACTGTGTTCCTTCCAGCACCCTCCTTGCTATACTATGACCATGCTACTTTGCTCTCCTGTGTCCATCATGAGCAGCAGAATGAAGATTATCATGGAGTTCTTTTTTATTGTGTCATATGTGCTTGAAAATGAACCTTCTGGAACAGGTTTCCCTCTTATGATCACTACAAACAACTTTTTTTCTCTTGATAATACCATCTTTCTTCTAATAAAGGTCTTTGGATGAAAGGAAGAAAAGCACTCATCCTCAACCTCCTTCTATCCCTCCATCTCTCTGTCTCTTCCCCCACAGTTGACTATATGCTCTTAACAATTTCAGTTTCCTGCTCTTTCTTCATTCATTTCTGTGATTTACTGACCTCTAGTGTGACTTTCTTTGTTCAGAGACTTCCTTTGGACCCCATTTATTGGAATGAAAATTTCATGCTTGTGGCATTTGCAGAAATCTTACTTCACAACCACTTCCTACATCCAATGAAGTGAAGTCACATTCACACCCACTGTATTGCTGGGAATTTCTCTACTGCCATTCTCTATGAGGACTACCTCATATTCATATTTCTCCTTCATTGACCTCAAGATATTTACTCCTGTCTAAATCTCTCACTGAGGCAATCCTGACTTTTCTGGCTTCCCTGGCCAATCTGTGTTTATAAGAAGGCTCTTTAATGATGCTGGTATGAGTCCTACATATTGCTTTCCATCTTACACATTACTGTTAACTTTCATTTGCTGCTTCATATTCTTCATCAAACTCTTCCCTCTGATTCTGCCATCTCACTGCCCAGAGTTGCTAAGAGAACATCAGAACCAAGACTCTTGGTTCCACTACTAGCCAAGTTATCTCACCGTGATTGGGCCTTAGGGTTACCATTTGTCATTTTCCTCTATTTTCCCACCATTTCTTTTAGTTATTTTTATTTCACTTACCCCTCCTTTGTGCCTGTAACAAGTAGAATGAATGTGCCAACCTAGTCTACTGCCTCTTATTTTATAAAAAAATTTAGTACATCTAACCAATAATACTTGTTTCATTGAAAACACTGCCATCAATCCAGTTATCCAAGACAAACACCTGGGTGTTTTCCTTGGTACTTGCTTCTGGTACCACATATTAAATTAGTTTCCACATTCTGATAGTTCTATCATTTTGTTCTCTGGAGTACATCCCAGAGTACTTAATGAAGTACTGGATAGAGTATTCAGATCGGTTTTGCCTCAGTGCTAGGGCAAAGTCAGTTTTAGACAAAAGACTGCTCTAGCCCTATCTTATGAAGTTTTATTAAAAGCATCAGAAGGCTCAAACAACTCAAATATTCAAAAATATTATAGGAATAAAAAATGTCTGGCAGTCAACAAGATAAACTTCACAATGTCTGGCATCCAATTAAAAATTACCTGCATACAAAGAAGCTGGAACTATGAAACGTAATGAAGATATAGTCAATCACTATAAAAAGACCCAGAAATCACCCAGATGGTTTTTCAGTAGGTGTAAAGTAAGAGAGTTATTATGATTGTATTTCATATATTAAATACAATTTTAGCATGTCATGTGGAAACAGGAACATATGGAAAGACATGCAGTGTTGCATGCCTGTAATCCCAGTGATTTAGGAGGCTGAGGCAGGTTTGTCTCAAATTTGTCTCAAATAAATAAATAAGTTAAATAAAAATAAAAAGGACTGGATATCTTCAGTACCAAAGGAAAGAAAAAAAGACCTAAATTGAACTTTGGGATGTGGAGTCAGTACAGTCTGGGAAAAAAAATACTGTGCAGAAATTAATAGTAGATTAGACACTGCAGAAAACAGGATTAGTTAACTTGAATACATAGAAATAGAAACTGACATGAAATACACAGAAGGAAAAGGACTAAGAAAAAATGAACACAGCATTAATAAAAAATGAGGTAACATAAAATGTTTTGATATGTTTGTAATTAAAATCACAGAATAAGTGGAGAGATGAAAAAGTGTATAAGGAAATAGATAATTTGAAAGATATCCAAATATTTGTAAAATATATCTATAGATCCAACTCTATAGATAAACTCAAGTTTATCTATAGATAAACTCAAGGAACCCTAGGAATTGGAAATGTGAGGATACCTATGTCAAGGCATATCATAATCAAACTGCTTATAAACAATGCTAAAGAGAAAATCTTTAACCATCAAAAGAGACACAGTACATACTAAGAAATAAAGATAAGAATAGCACGATTTCTCATGGGAAGCAATTTCAACAAGAACAGAGTAGAACATCTTTAAGTTACTTGAAGAAACAAATATAAACATCATCAACCTAAAATTCTACATGCAGTAAAAGTATCCATTTGAAAATTAAGGTGAAATATAGACTAGTTCAGATATGGAAAGAGATGAAAAAATTTGATAGCAGCGGGAAATGTACTATAGGAAATGGTGAAGGAAATCTTTGGGGTTGGAAAAAATAAATGCCAGTGGTAATTCACATCAGCACAAATAAATAAAATGGCCAGAAAGGAAAAATGTATGGTGAATACCAGATATTTGAAATTTAAAGAAGAATAATTTAAATTATAATTGTTTAAAATAAAAGTTGTAACAGTGTATTGTTAAAATTTATAATATACATACAAATAAAATGTATGACTACAATATCACAAAGGCCTTATGATAGAAAAGCTACATATATATTTTAAAGTTCCTGTAATTTGCTTGGAGTGCTTGAAATTTAGTATGTGGAATTTGACTGTGAAAAATAAAAGATGTATACTATAAACCAAAAAAAAAAAAAAAAAAAAAAACAAAGAAAAATAGAGTTACAGCTAATAAGCCACAAGGGAGATATATATCTATAAATCATAAATATATGAAATTAATCCAAAACAAGAAGAGGATAGCAAAGAACACATGAAACAAATACAAAGATAATAGAATGAAACCAAATAATTTCATTAAATGTAAATTCCCTAAAATCCTCAGTTGATTTAAAAAAGCAGGACCCCCATATATGCTAGCTTCAGAAACTTACTTTAGTTACAAAGTCACAAATACATTAAAAGTGAAAAGATTTAACTAGCCTTATTATAGCAAGAATAATCAAAATAAAAATCAAAAAGAAAGCCTGAGGGGCTGTATTAATATCAGATCAAATAGATTTTAATGCCAAGAAAGTTATCAAGAATCAAGACGATCATTGCATAATGATAAAAGAGTCAATTTACTAAGAGGGCTTCAAATTCCCAAGTACTTATGCACCTGATAACAGTTTTAAAATAAATGATGCAAAACCAACAGGATGCAAAAGGAAATATAGAAATCTGCAATGGTAATCAGAGATCTCATCACCTCTCTTTCAATAAATGATAAAAATAACTAGAAAGGTCAG